GAAGTAAGCAAGCAGACACAGACTGTGAAATTACAGACATAAAAGACCATTAGATTGTTTTGTATGTTGTCAAGCTTGTTGAAAAAAATTGTCAATGGGAAACGAGGAAATTCTGAAAGAAAAAATGATGTCGGAAGTAGTTTTTTTCCTCTTCGGATTTTTTCTTTTGATGCCAGCAATCTTTTTTCGGAATCCTGCTAAGTATACATTTCATTCCAAATGTAATTATTATTGATGAAAAATCGAAAGGAAAAATGGGACAGCACTTATATACAGCCTAATATATATCAGAAGGTGTCCTTGGATTCGGAATTCGTTCATTCTGAAGAGAGATATGACAATGCGACGAGGTATCCATCTGGCAAAGTGCACTCCGGTGCACCGCAGCGCACTCTGCCAAAAGGCGACTTTTTTGACTAAGTATGAGCGAAACTGTACTACTATATGTACAATGCGTTTGACGAGGCCAGCGCCGCGTAGTGCAGTCACACATCTACGCGCGAGCGTTATTGTAGGTGCAGCGTGCACGGACCATACTGCGCACAACGTCGCGTGCCTTGTTTTTGTTATTGTATCTCGAGATTTTTCCGTTTTTATAGCAGCGCATTGCCATTTTTCTTGCTCCTGTGCTCATATGCGATTTGTCTTGATACCGGATATAGTTTTTTTTTGCAACTAAGGAAGGAGGTATCATTTGAGCGTTTTTCCTCATAACATCTTTTATTTGATCCAGACCTTCTCCGGATGACTGATTCCGAATGTTATGATTCATTATACCGCTCTGTTTCAGCGGACATAATCGTATATCGTCTAGGTTTACGTGAACAGCGCGTTGGCGCTTACACTCAAGCTGTTCTCTCAACCTATACGATATACGATTACACCTCACATAGCCACAATTAAAGAGCACCAGCCCTTCTCAGAATTCTCAAATGAAATGATTTAGATCACATTTTCTTTTACACCTCTAACCTTCATTGTCTTCCAACTCGCGCAGTTATACTATGAGAGATCTCACAAGGAAAGTTCACTTAGTCGAAGTGGCGATTCGGAAGAAGAGCTTTACCAGTAGATAGAGCTCAAAAAGGTGATTTCAAATGTACCTTCCATACCTGCGATGTGTTGTTCTGAAAAAAGTTATGAGCTTTTCTAAAGCCAAATTTCCGTGCATTTTGAGTCCCAAAATCATGATTATCGCTACAAAAAGTGTGCGAGCTGAGCAAACCACCTAGTAAGCATTGCAGTTCTAATTCGAATTCATCCGAACGCTTTAAAATGTTTTTCGACCTTGTTGTTCATCCAGAGGTCGTCATTTCATTCCTAGATACACTTTCATTACGTATACGAAAAAGTCCCATAGTCTCCATCTAACGCGTCGCGTCGGAAACTTTTTGGAAACTACCAATGAATAGAACGTAAAACGACGTTCTCAAATATATCTTCAATATCTGCGACGCGTTTTTCTAGATGGAGGTTATGGGCTTTTGTATATTAATGGAAGTGTGATCTAGGAAGGAAATGACGGCCTGTGAATAAACAACATGGTTGGAAAACACTCGAAAACGATCGGATGAACTCGAATTAGAGCTACAATGCTTATTAGGTATGAACGATGTCGTATGATGTTGAGCAACACGACCAAGATGGCAACTTTTCTTTATTAACTTCGGCCAACGTTTCGGCGCAATCGCCTTCGTCAGAGCCTAGAAAGTCGGATACATAAGGATCCCATTCCTCAGACGTCAACGAAGAAGCAAGATAATTCAATTGGAAGCTAGTACGAAGGAAGGAAACAGAGCCACGGCTGAGCAATACTCACCTTAATCGTTGCATAGGGGGTACGAGGGACCACCAACTATGCAATAACTATACCTCTACCCTATTTATAGTAATGAGGTGACCTGACCTAGCCTCAGAAACCGCAAAGGGCCTGATATGGCGCGAGTTCGTTGGTTATTGCAATACACTCCTCCTTCCGGCCCATTTTTGGATTTTTAGCGCTAATCCAAAACGCTTCCGAAGTCTTGCGCGATAGGACCTCGGGTTCATAGGACAAAATCGAGACCCCAATTTGTATTTCAGCATTTTCGTGTTGCCGTAAGCGATGACTACCGAGCGGTGTACTGGTCCTTAACTTATTCAGTCCATCCAGATGTTCCTTAATGCGACAGCAAAGCGGGCGCCCTGTTTCGCCTATGTACGTGTCGCCACATGATAAACATGTGATGATATATATCACGCCTGCCACCATACAGTCTCCCTCTCTACCGAATGGACAAACTACACAGCCTGGAGTCAAGCAATTCCGATCATACGCTCTATTCCTGACCAATTGCCTCTTTAGGTTGGGCGGCGGAATATCGACCACTCTAAGCGCGTCTTGCAAACCCGCCTGATATACGCATCGCCGCACCGCGCTGCTTATATAGTCCGAGATGAAGGGCATGCGGAAAGGAATCTTATCCGTGGCTTTCCAAGCGAACTCTACTGCTTACAAAAGCACGCGATCTAGGAGTACAGCTACTTGTTGTGTACCCATTTGACCTGGCTATTTGTTTGGCTAATGCTAAAGAGTAGGAACGCTCCTGGACACCCGATGAAACTCTAATAGCCGTTCGACACATGTTTCCAATCACGGACTGCTTGACTTTCTTTGGATGCGCGGATAAGTAATGCACTAAAAGGGCTTACTAGGTAGTTTGGTTAATTGCACACTTTTGTGTAGCGATAATCATGATTTTGGGAATCAAAACGCACAAAAATTTGGCTTTAGAAAAGCTCATAGCTTTATTCAGAACAGCGCATCGCAGGTATGGAAGGTATATCTGAAATCAGCTTATTAAGCTCTATCCACTGGTATAGATCTCCTTCCGAATCGCCGTTTCGACTAAGTGAATTTCCCTTGTCAGGAAAAACACCGAAGTAGAATTTTAGACAGAAACCTCAGAAATTTGACCACGCCGCTTTGCGCGGCATGGTCCCTTGCACGCTGCACGGTAGCGCTCGCGCGCAAGTGTGTAACTGCACTACGCGGCACTGGCCCCGTCAAACGCATTGTATATTCAAGCAAAGATGGAGATAAGTGAACCTTTCGAAAGTATGGCACAGCTTGATCAGACCATTTGTTTGATACTTTGGCTACGTATTCAAATGAAAAATTTTGAAAGCCAAGAAGTACTCATATGCATGAAAACTCTTGCTGAACCTGATTTCAATACTTTTCTTCTGCCGTACAGGTTGTTATAGGTGACACTTTATTGCCCAACGTTTCGGCACAACGCCGTCGTCAGAGGCTTAAAAGGAGTCAGTCACTTCGATTCATGATCTTAGCCGCCAAAAATCTCCTCCCACTCGGCCATTCGAATGGTCTTTAGTGGAAGCAGGAAGTCTGCGAGTAGAGTTTGACTCACCAGAGTGCCACCGTGATTTGTAGCAGTATCAGCTGCTTTAGATGTGCTTGGACCGACTGCGGTATTGAGTATAGACAGTCGTGTCAACTGACTGCGATTTTGAGAATGAGCAGTCGCGATGTCAACGAACTGCTTAAATAGGTCAAATGATCTTATAGTTTGCAATATGTCAGATACGGCATTAGATCTCCAGTTATAGATAATTGTTCATTCTTGTTGTTGATCTTGGGGTCACGGACAAGAATGTAGGACGCTTCGAGGGCCTTTCTAGCGGAGATATGGTTTTCGTAGGCCAAAATTATGCACTTAATGTCGATATCGGTCTATGCTCTTCGAATTTTCTTCATTTCAAGTATTGAGAGCCGAACATGTTTCCTAGCTTAACTCCAAATATCGCACTTTTGCGAATAATCTGTCTCTTTTACACAGGAATGCTAGCTAAAATTCTCGACTTAGCTCTCTCCCACTTATATATGGCAGCATTCTGCTCTCCGTGTTTGCAATCGCCATGCTCACCTACTGCTGTACCAACTCTGCTTAGAATCTCTATCGATTGCCTTGTAAAAAACAACTTCCGAGAACGACGCACACGTGCGGATGAACTTTCACTCTTCGTGGCCAATTCGCATGCGGCAAACTCCGTTAAAGTACAAAAGAATGTGCAAAACCTCTACTGTCTCATTCGTCGATTTATAATCAATGACATAGTTTTTCCAACTTATCTCTGGTTTTACTTATTTGCAATCAAAGAATTTTCGAGGAAAATGTCGAAACCATATTTTGAGTCGGGGAGCCTTCTCGCTACAGTACGCTTTTAGCCCCCAGAGTTTATAATTGCTGATACTGTGAAGTCCATGCTCATCTTCGAGAAGCAAATGGGAATAGAAGTCCTAGGCAGGCAAAAGACTTATCCACCTAGCCGTTCAACTGCTTCATGATTGGTCATATCAGTGACCCATCATGAAGCGGCTAAGGAGCTAATCGGATAAGTTTGGTGCTTGCCTTGACAACAAACTGCCGTTTGGATCTGTTTCAAAAATTGCTTGCAATTTGCAACTGTTTTGGGATTTGCGCTCAAAGAATATGCTTCTTGCCATCCATCTAATTGGTAGTCGCAAGTTATGGCATTTCGTTAATTCAATCACCCCGTCCTTATGCGATTATCCAATTGTTTATGTACATAACTTCGGAAGATGTTGTAGGTTTGCGCATAAGCTATGTTGCCTTCTTTAGGAAAAAAGGGAGCGAGGCAATTTTGCCACCATCCTGTGCGCAGTAAGAGCTCAAGTCTCTCCCCTATGTTCTCTAGTAATTTTTTATAGTTATTACCTTCTTTCCAAAATCTTCATATGGACCACGATTTCCTTTTGGGCAGCGAATAAGCGGAAACGATATTTTCAGTACGATTGTTATGCTTCCTTGCTACTTACCTTCTTTGCAAGATGTTCTAGACAAAGTGGTCTCAGACGATAAAAAGGGAAACAATTTGAGGCTATAACTGTGGAATGGAGTGGACGTTATTCTCGTTTTAACAGTTTATGTTGTGATAAAAAGTCTGCATCAAAGCCAACACTGAACTTGATTATTTAGAACCTAAATGGGCTTTGGTCTCCTTCGTCTTATTTGGAAAGATGGTCAACAGGTGAACAACGCAGATTAAGTGTTGGCATATAAATACACAAGTGTAGTCAAAGTGTTACATAAATTTAAACTTTACAGCATCACATACTCCGTGCATCCGATATTTTTCTCGGAAATGTCTCCAACTTCTGTCAGATCGTTGTTCTATTCACTTATTAACATACCACAAAGCATAGGAATTATTGTAGCGCCTTACCTGCGCCATATTGTAAAGCAGTCAATTATGTTTCAGAATGTAACACTTTATGTTTAGGATTTTGGACCGGAATGTTCCAGATATGTAATTGTTGGCATATCATGTTTAGTATCTAGCGCTCTTTGTTTTTTTTGCCAGAAACAAAGGATCGTCCTTTGCCGTCGGATATCAAAACTGCTTCAGATAATTTCACAGAAGATCTGAGAAATAGAGAGATGTTGATAAGGTTTTTCTTTCACTTCAGGCAAAAGTAGTAACTTCTCCAGCTGAATAAGACAAATTCAGAGAGCAAGGATTAGACGAAGATACTCCTCCATTGTTGCAAGAGGATTAATTTATTGAAGAAAAAAGACTACGAAATTTCTTTGTTTTTAGCATCTGTAATCAACAGTCTACGTAACTTTAATATATTAACATATACGCCTTATAAAGATAAAAATGCTCCGAACTTGACTCGAACTTGCTCATGACCTGTGATGATGATAATCTAACTTTGCTTAACCCGCTCAAAAGTCGTTCAGATTTGAAAGCAAACACTCATTCCAATATGGTATGACTTGCCTCAAAATTGCATAAAGTGTACATTATTCTGTATAAAGTTGTACAAGTCGCACTCTGTTTGCAGTAAACGCGAGCAGATTTCGGTACATCGCTCGCATGTGCTTCGGGAAGCGTCAAGTTCTCATGCATCTTTTTCATGTGCGGTCCACAACATAAAGGTTCCACGTCTAGTACTGTGTTTGCTTAGACCAATCAGAAGAGGCTCGTCATTCGAAAATTAGGTACTAGGAACGTTTTTGACCGATGAATTCTAATAATCTCTTATCTTATCTATCTCTTTGAAAGAAGTTATGAGCATACGAAATTGTTGACTTTTTGAACCATCGATGATGTGCATCGAACGTTTGCCCAAGAGCGGATACAGACGATTTGAAATTCGACAACTTCAACGTTAGCAGTTGATCCGAGAGATTATCTGACTTGATAATTATTGGTACATTTTGCGTATCAGTGCCCCTTTGATGTGCTTACGGTATGTATACGGTACGGCAGTAGGTCATTGTGTTGAGTGTGCTTAAATTTTGCGTAATGGGCTTACAGGACTATTGTTCAGAACATCATGTAGAATTATTTTGTTATTCATTTACCAGTGCGTCACCTCTGCTTCGCAGAGGCTCGCACTGGCCCTACTTTCTGTATGCCTCACTCATTCCCGCATGATAGTGTCATAGAAACTCACCGCGTTATGCAGGCTGTCACGAATGATTTGTAAACAGCTACTCATTCCTAGAGCTTTTTTGCGTGAGATCGGTATTTTCACGTGGATGAAACTTTTCTCGGAAGAATAAATGCAAATTTGAGTAAGTTTGTGGACTTTTTATGGCTTGGTAGTCGTCATAACGGCAATAATCACCGTGGGCTTCATCTCTGTGCAAAACTCTTTTTAAATGATCAGGTAAAATCTTGGGAAATTGAGCATTTACGCAACTAATCCTTTTTGGCGCCATCTTCGTAAAGTAAAAAACTTTAGTCCAATTTTTTGGGCTAAAGTCCATGGCTTGTACATTAGCTTGTCAAACATATCCACGACTTTGCGAAAAGTTTATATACGGACCCAATTTTGCTGGCCGGAAGTTAAGTGGACCCGTTTTACGCGCAATTTCTAAGGGATCCACTTATCGGATGCGCTTGTGCTTTTGCACAATGGACTTTCCTGCTGCTAGGATGTACTATGCAAAATTTGGGCCCAATTGCTTGACTGGGACTCCTTCTGCGAATTTCGTGACAGACAGATTTACAGACAGACACACACACAAAAAAACAGACGGCCTTAGCGCGTTATTATAGTAGGATTGAACTCGCATAAATGCTCCTTTGATCTGTTTAAAGCTATTAAACTGTGTTTTTTTCTGACACCGTTTATTCCATTACCTCTACGAACCTCTTCCTCACATCTCGATACGGCCTCCCCCTCACCTCTTCTTGGGTGCAGTGTTTCACAGTAAAGGAATAAGCGATGTGAACAAAAAGAAACAGTTTAATGTGTTTTGAACAACCTTGGCCAAGAAAGTCTTCTTCGAGAAGATTGAGTCCAAACATACTTAAGGCAATAAAAAAGGCCACTCTTTCCTTTCCTCTTCTTTATTTCTCAAATGCAAGTGATTCTGTTCTAAAAATGACTTAAAAGCTGATTTTTCAAGTGAAATTTGTAGCGAGAATCGCAAGTGCACTGTTTGGTTATAATAACTTGTAAGAAAGTTCTGCCAACTCATCTCGTGATTACCAAAAGTGAATGAATGCAAAGGGCTGGTTTGGGATGTGCTCCTAGTGTGTGACGACCTCAGCTACTAAATACGCTAATCAGCTTGAAAAAATAAGGATAAAACAAAAAGAAATGCCCGAAAGGGGAAAATCCGCTTCGCTTAGGTTTGTGAAAAGGCACATTTTGCAGGTTATAAAACGCAAATCTTGCATAAGCTCAATTGTAAATCCATTTTATACCCTTCTTATTATTTAGATGGAGTGGTATCTCATATAACTCGCTCCGCTATCAGGGCTTTTTTCTAAGAAGAAAATAGCTAATTGATATCAGGGTCTAATTAAACTCTCCAGTTGTTTCGAAACGCAGCTAGCGTTTTGGAAAAGATCTTCCATGATACAATTAATCAGTAACATAGGTGCGATAGGGGGAGCAGGTTCCTCTCCAGGTGAAGGGGGTTTTGGTTATTTCCGACCTAGAAAAGTGAAGAGGGTAACTGAGTTTTAAGATGAATGCTGACGCAGTTTGCATGCCTAACAGTAGCGGGAGTGAAAAGAAGGAAAATAAGCGCTATAGAGGTGTAAAATGAAAATTTTCTCAATGCTCAGGTCATCGAAGTTCATCAAATAAAGACTTTTTTGACTTGGGAAGGCTTTGTGTTTCATAAGTCGGCATACCATACGAAAGCTTGAAACATATAGAATCGACGTAGACCGTCTCTTTTTTTCCAGCTCTCTTGTGAATATACATATAAGAAATCAGATCTAGCTTCAGCATCAATTAATTTTATGCAATCACTTTGCGCTCCACTTCTGAGAGAAAGAGGGGAGCTAGAAAAAAAGAGACGGTCTACGTTTACTGGCAAGGTCTTGCTCTATGCTACTGTTAGAAAACCAGGCACCTTCACTCATTTTTCACGCAGGAATTTCTTGACAAACACACACACATGTTTTTAGCTAAGAGCTAGAGAAAAAGAGAAGACGGTCTACGTCGAATCCATTTTTCGTGGGCTTTCTAATGGTATACAGGTTGTTGGGTGAAAAAATTTGTGGCTTTTCAAAAATGAGGTGGAGATATTCAATACTAACTTGCTCCACCCTGCTCCGGCTTTCTATGGGTAGTCGAAGCAAGAGTTTCTCGGATTGGGAAAGCTTTATTTACCAAAACTTTGTATACCATTCGATAGCTAAGAACACGAGGAATCGACGTAGACCGTCTTTTTTTCCTAGCTTCTCTGTGAAGCGAGATATGAGCAATTTTACCCAGCTACAATATCAGTCAATTCTGTGTAATTATTTTTTCAGACCAAGAAGTTTTTTTCGAAGTTTATATATGATTCGAAAGCTTGAGAAACGAGTAATCTGAATGCCCTTTTATTTGTAATTATTCTCTCTAGTGAAAGGAGATATAGTACGATTCTTGTCAGAAAACATGCATCCATCACTGGCTAGTCCAGGTTTTCTACTCATGTTCAACTCTTTCTGTGACAGTGTGTACTCATTGATACAATGTTAATTATTCAAAGAATCAGTCATCCTATTAATTTATGATTATGTTTCGTTACTAACGCCACTTTGAGTGCGCTGAAGGTCTCAAGCATGCGTTTTTTCAACAAAACGCTGCTACTTCGATACTCTCTTGTAGTCGTGATATCTGAAAAGAAGAGAGCTGGCTTCCCTTTCCAAACACAAAATGCCGTTGTAACAGCTGTTTGATTATGCCGTTATGCCTTGATTCTAGTCTTAACCTCAGGTGAAAGGGGTCAACCAGATGCCGGCCCTAAAGTGAAGGGGCCAGAGAAATTTCTCCACCTATCGCATCTATGATCAGTAATTAAGGTTTCCAGTATACCAAATTATCGTTAATTGACAGCGACCCTTGGTGAAGATATAAATGAAGTTAGGTCAACCTTTACTGGCAAAACTTTCTTTACAACTAATAAAATCAATTGCATCATGGAGCGAATCGCACATAATAGTTGGAACAGAAGCCGAAGTTGCATATTGTGCTAGCCTTTTCAACATGCTGCCTGCGCCTGCACGCACACTGATATAGCCATTGTAGTGGGATTTCTTCAAAAACTAGCTGGCATATCCAGTCACGTCCGGGTTCTTTTGAAGTATTCAGCGTGTCTTGATCGCTCAAACTTCCTTGATTTCCACGACCTACACACTAAATGCCTTACCTGCAAAGCTTAGTCCCGAGTAAGAGTCGGGTTTGACAACAAATTCATGAGAAGTATATTGAGTGTATCAGTAAAATATTGATAAAGGCCTTAATTTGAAGTGAATTTATTAGGTTGGCTAAAAAATAATTTCAGCGTTTCTAGCGGTTCGTAGAAATGTCACGATAAATTAATATATAAATGTTTGTACCATTGAAAGAGTAAATAAAGGAGAATCGGACGGTTGCTAACTTTGCTAACGTCAAAAAATATTTTTTGATGGTGGTATGGTGCAGTAAAGCGAAAAGCCAGATTTCGTCAAATATCATGGGCGCAAAGTGCACAAATGATGTACAAACCTACGCATTATACTTTCAACCATTTGCATGTCTACAAAATGGTCGAATTTGAGCGATGGCCCAATGCTGACTTTCACGCGCGGATAGCTGGAATTTCCATATTTTTGGTCACAGAAAACACAAACAGCAGATCACAGCCTGCATTGGTTTTATGTTGTATATGTGTATGTATATGTCTTTTTCGGGACGAGTAGCGTAATGTAGGCGCCGCTATGGCCAATTCGGACACATGTTCGATCTCCGCCCCTGGGTCACCCAAGACCTCTACCCTCTGGGGCCGGTAAATTGGTATGAGAGTACTCTGGGAGAATAAAAGCACTTGGTAACGGCTGGCCTCCGCAAGTCACTGTGATAGACTCGCACGCATACAATTGCCTCTTCGATTATGAAATAGTGTGCGTTCGTCGCATGCCCTTAGAGGGTACTGAAGGCGCCAAACCCTTTATCCTTTATCCTTGTATCTTATCCTCTCCCTGTCTTGTCAAAATCAGCATGCACACTTATCTCTTAAGCCCACTCCCAACCTCGTAGCTCAAAATTTGCAAAAGATCGATAAAATCGACTAAAAAACGGAAAATTATAAAAACTCACACTGTATCAGTAAGC